ACATGAGCCAGTGTGTGTTTTATTTTGTGGCACAGGATCTAACAAGTCTAGGCTGGGCTTGAACTTGTGATCCTCCTGCCTCAGCCTCGTGACTAGTGCTTGGGTTATCAGCATGTTCCACCACTCCTGGCTGGACAGAAGCTGTTGTGAATCTGGTTGGAATACAGCTCTCTAAACCCCGTCTCAGGAAGCAGAGGCTCACCTGAGGTTCCCCCCTGGTGGCAGCTGGACACAAGCTGTGGCACATGGGTGGAGAAGGAACGCTGGGACAGAGCGCCTCACAGTGGTTTTTCCCCTTTTTATTAAAAATAGACCCAAACACTTTATGTATCATACAAAAGTTTCATTCGCTGGTGGCAGCCACGGGATGCCCCGTGGCCCTGATGATCCAGCTGCCCTCCAGGGGACAGGGTCACAGGGAGCGGTGGCCACTCGCCTGGCCCCGGACCCTGCCAGCTGGCGTGGGGCTGCGGTGCCGCGTTCCCTCCTCCCTGCCAGTGGCAAGGGGTAGAAACGCAAAGTGCCTCTCCTGTGCCAAGGTAAACAGCGGGTGATATGGGCCCCAAAGCTGCTGCCCAGGGCCTAGACTTGGCGTTCCTTGCCGCCTGAGTCCTTTCCCCATCTTCCGACGGGCATCTGAACCCAGCCTCGCCTCTGCTATCCTGTGGCTGAGGCTCAGCTGGCCTGAGACCTCTGTGTGCTCCAAACGACAGGGGCCGGGTCCTCACCCTGCCGTCTGTGTCCTGGACCTTGCGCACACGCGGCCCCCAGCCCCCCTCTCCTGGTGCTGCGTTTCCCAACTGCTGCTGCCGCCCCTGGGCCTTCAACACTCCGGGGGGCCCCCAGACCCCTGCTGCCAGGGGGCGCGGTGGGGGCAGGGAGGTGGGCGGAGCCGGGGCTGGGCGGGCAGTACACATGCTGGTCTGGACTCGCGCGGGGCCGGGCGGGGCAGGCGCAGGAGGGTGGGGCATGCGGGGCGCAGCCTGCCTGAGCCCTCAGTCCCAGCCGTTGTCCTTCACCATGTGTGAGGTCTCGATGATGTACTTTCCCTCCTTGTACTTCTGGCTGCTCTCGAAAGCCTGCTCCTGATGGGGAGGGCCTCGTGACCACCCAGGTCGCCTACACCGGGCGGCTCGGTTCTGGGGCTCCCCCCGCCCCGCTCGAGCCGCGGTCCCCAGGGTGTGGAGCTGTCCCCAGCACTCACATATTTCCAGCCCAGCGTGGTCTTGCAGCTCTCGCAGAAGATGTCAGCTACGGAGTGCAGCCCGGTGAGCAGCAGGCGCTGTTCAGCCGGCCCACAGCCCACGTTGACCCTGTCCAGGGAGACAAGGAGGAGCCAGCGCCCGCCGGGCGGCTCTGTCAGCGCAGCCCCAAGCAACCCGGAGGGGCCGGAAGAACCCGCAGCGGCATGCGCCCCACAGTCACTAGGTTCTTGGCTCTTTCTCTAGGGCTGATACTGGCTCTGACTAGGCCCCTGGAAAGCCTGCAGCCCTACTCCTACAGCCCCTTTGCAAAAGGTAGCAGAGCCAAAGGAAGGCACGGGGGAGGGAAGGGGGTTGAGATGGGCCCCTCGCTGGAGCCCAGGTTGGCTTCAAGCTCATGGAGATCCTCCTGCCTCGGCCTCTCAAGGGCTGACATGATGGGCATGTGTCACCATGCCAGGCTAAAGAGCTCCTTTCTGATGGCTCCCCCTGTCTGTCCCTACAGCAAGAGCCACACACACGCAAGCACACGCAGGAGCAGTGGACTCACACGGAGTTAAACAGGTAGGCGCGGCCGTGGCTCCCTTGGAAGGACTGCGGAGACACAGGGCAGACAGTGACCAGTGTGTGTCCCCTGCCTCTGCCCGTGCCCTCAGCGGCCATGGCCGGGCACAGCCAGGCCTCCATCGTACCTTGGAGATGAGCTCATCGTGCTTGGCCAGGTGGGCACGGCAGTGCACACAGCTGTAGGTGCGGTGGCAGCGAGGCAGGTAGCTGCGGAAAGTCTTGGCGGGCAGGCAGGTGGGGGCCGGGCCCGGGTCGCAGCTGGGCATGACAGGCTGCAGCACGATGCCCTGGCGGGCTGGAGGGGCTGGCGCTGTGCAGCCCCCACAGAGCCGGTCACAGGTGAAGCAGCGAAGCAGGTTGGCTAGAGCCGTGTTTTAGGGCAGGAGAGCTATGGGGGGCTGCCCGGCCAGGGCCCCCCCAGACAAGAAGTGTGGAGAAGCGAAGTCACCTAGGGAGAGGGATCCAGGGTGAGGGGAGCCTGACCTCAGTGGGCTCAGGCCCTGCCATGGCCTCCCAGCCCCTGCCACCCAGCACTGCCCTGTGTCCCCTGAGTCCCCTTTGCTCTGGCAGCGTTTGGAGGCTTCTCCTGCCAGAGCAGGGAGGCAGCTGGGGTCTCCTGGGGCCAGAGCAGCCTCTGCCATTTTCCACCGAGAGCAAGTCGCTGGCACCAGTGCTGCCATGGAAGCCGCGTCATCAGCACGGGCCCAGCCTCGGGGTTCGGGGCCTCCATGACAGCCTACAGTGCTCCGTGGTGCGCACAGGGCCTTCCTGACACTGCTGCCTGGAGGCTCTACTTTTCCGGATCTCTTTCTGCACGCCCCTCTGGTATGCTGCAGGTGCCCAGCCTAGCTTTGCCCAGCCCTCTGGCTGCTGAACTCTACCCTTGACCTGGGTGTGCCTGTCCCCCAGCTCCCGAAGGCGCTCTTGGCCATGTTCCCAAACTCTGAGCCCCTCAATCTCTGTTCGACACTTTGCTTGGTGAAAGATGTCAGCTTCCAGCCGTGGAGAGACAAGACCACTTTTCTGGGGCCAACTTGACAACCAGCCCAAGGGGAGAAGCCAGGGTCCTGGGCTGGGCAGGGCTGCCTGGTGCAGCGTGAGAGCAGCGTGTGCACACGGCCTCAGAAGGGAGCTTCTGGTTGTTAGGATCTGTGTTTGGAGCTGGTTGTGGAGTTGTGCACATGCAGTCCTAGCACTCCAGGAGGCTGAGGCAGGAGGATCCCAAGTTTCAAGCCTAGCTGGGACAACTTAGAAAAATCCTGCCTGTAAAATGTAGGAGGGTGCTGTGGATGTGGCTCAGTGGGCAGGCCCCTGGGCCAACCCCCGTATCTCAAAATGATACATCAATAAAGCTGTGGCTTGGGGTACAAGATGCGACCGTGCCTCCTTCTCCCAGGGCCAGGGACAAACAGCAGTGACTCAGGGAGACTGAAAAGGAAACCATGGCTGGCCTATGCCAGCCCCAGGGGGCTGAGGCTGCTGGAGCAGGGGATAAGAAGGGAGGTGGCCCCTGTCGGCCCAGATAAGCAGGTGCAGTGCTGCCGTGCCCTCGTGGGCAGTGGTGCATGGCTCAACACAAGTCTGTGCCCGGGCAGAGCCAGAGCAGTGAGGCACAGGGGCACCAGCAGCCGGGCAGGCCGGCTGTCCCCATCCCACTCTCCGCAGTTGCCACAGTGCCCCAGCGGTGCTGCTCTCTGAGAGAGCCACCCAGCAGCTGTATACAGAACCCTCCATGGAGACCAGGGCCAGGCCTGGAAGACACCCTGGGCTGAACCCGGTGACAACAGCTTCTAGTGGCCCTTGTCGCTACTGGTTTCCAGGTAGACAGTGTTCAGTGGCTGCCGTCAACTTTGCCCAAGTTCCCTTAGGACAACAGCCACCTTGAAATGCCTCCTTCAAGGCTGGGGGATGAGGGACCTGCTCAGGAGTCCCCCAAGCTCGGCCTCGGTCCTCAAGCTCGGCGGACGGCACGCCTCCTTCCCTGTGCCTATCCAGCTGGGGAAGGCTGCCCAGAGACTAACATCCTGGAGGGACACTAGGGGTCACTGCTTCTCCCCGTATACCCCTCCCAGGGAGCGGCAGGTCAGCGGATGATGGGCAAACAAAGGCCAGCTGGGGCTGAAGGAGGCTGCGTCCGGGTGTGCGATGTGCGCCGCGCAGGACCTTGGGGATGCAGAGCGGGTGGCTGCTGAGGCAGAGGCTGAGAATCCAGATGTGGTGGAATCGCGAGCCTCGCAGGAAGCAGGGCCGGGGGAGGGGGGCACTTAGGGGATGCTGTCTACCTGGGACCCCCACCCTTCCCCCGCGCGGCGCTTTGGGATGGTATCGTCCAAAGATGCGAGCCCGCCGGCTTCCAGGCCAGGTTCGGGGTCCGCACAGCAGCCGTAGGGTGCGCAGTGACGCTGGATGCAGCGGCCAAAGTTGCCGGGAAATGAGTGCGGGAGGCGCAGCTTGGAGAGGGATGGAGGAGAGCCGACAGAGGAGCCAGGCCGCGGGGGAGGGGAGGAGGACAAAGGCTGGATGAATAATGCCTTGGCGGGGCTGGGGCGGCACGCAGAAGGGGACACTGGCACGGGGCATCCACCTGGAGCAGGGCTGCCCCCTCACCTTGAGGTCGGCTCCAGAGATCTCCGGCTAGTCTCTCTAGCTCTCGATCTCTCTGCTCGCTCTTCACTCTTCGCTTTCGGCTCCTTCAATTGGGGAGGGGGGGTGGCCAGGGGCTCAGGGCTGGGGCTGCCAAGCGTGGACAGCGGCCGGGGGCCAGAGGTGGTCTGCCGGGCTGCACCTCGGTCTGTGGGTGACTGTGGCTGTGTGTTGTGGAACTGCATCATAACACTGTGACTCATCCGTCCCCCGCCCCCCTCACCTCCCACGTCAGAGCAGGGCTGGGAGACACAGGAGGCGGTGGGGCGGGAGGGGGCGGGAGGGGGCCCGGGCGGGGACCAGGCTGCTGGTGGGCAGAGGAGGGGACAGGCGGGTGGCCGAGGAGATGGCGCCGCAGTGGGAAGCGAGATGGCCGGTGCCGAGGGCGAGGGTGCGCGGGCGCAGGAGGGCCAGGAAGCGCACCCGCGTTCATTCACCAGGCTGCGTCTCCCCATTTGGGCTCAAACACCAACCCTGACGCAGGCAAACGGTCACGGGGGCAGGCTGTGCCCGAAGCAAGCCGCGCCGTTCGAGCCCCTACTTCGTGTCCCTGAAGCATCACCGGGTGCCATGGGACAGTTCGAGCTGGATCTCTGCTCAAGACCCCAGGACTCAGGGTTCCTGGGTGAGACTCCTGTGGTACCCTAGATGCTTGCCAGGAACCTTCCAGGCAGGCCCTCCGAGAAGGCTCCCCCTTGCACCCCAGAACTGCGGAGCCTCGCACCAAGCCCTGGGGACAGGCAGCTCTCTGGCCCTACACAGGGATGGAGTCCAACAGAGCCTGGCTTTGGTCTTAAAGTCACCTGAGTTGGAATTGCAGCGCTGCTGATTCCATGCCCAGAACCTCTGGGCAAGTGACAATCTGCTCTGCACCTCGATTTCCTCTTGTGACATCAGAGCAGCTATTAACTCTACCTGACCATCGCCAGAAGAAACTGACATGAGGTGGAAAGGCCCCCAAGTGCCCTGCGCCCGACCACTACCTGGTAAATAATAGTGTAACTTCAAGGCAGCATTGTCAAATGATCCAGGTGCGATGGGTTTGGCGTCTCACAGCTGTCATCCCAGCACTGTTGGAGGCTGAGGCAGGAGGATCACTGGGAAATCCAGGCCCGCCTGGGCTAAGTGGCTGAAGGGTGGCTTGCCGGGCTACATAGCGACCCTGTCTCAATCTCCCCAGACTCCCCCCCAAAACTGAAGTATGACGTACCAGTTCTCCAAGATGGCTGTGATTACTGTGCGTTGCAAACATATACTAATAAAAAAGTGAATAAAAATAAGAGAAAAGCAGCACTAAAAAAAAGAAAAAAAAACAGGAAAAAAAAAGAAAAGAAAAGCAGTACTGTCAACTTACTACCTCTAAATCCAGAGAAGATGTACTACTGTTTCCTGGTATTTCAGGAGATAGGTCAAACTTTTCTTATGAAAAAATTATGTTTTTCTTGTTTTTTCTATTCTCCCCCCCCATTTGGTGGTATTGGGGTTTTAACTTGGGGGCTTTACATTAAGCTACATCCCCGGCCCTTTTTATTTTTAAGACAAAGTCTCACTAAGTCCTCATGTTGCCCTGGCTGGGATCAAACTTGTGACTTTCCTGCCTCAGCCTACCAGAGTGCTAGGATCACAGGCCTGCATGACACCACCTCCAGCTTTCTCAGTAACTAGCACCTTCCTGTTAAATGTCATTTCAGAGTATCGCTCATGGGGTACTGGGCTGATCATGTCACTAATGGACGCAAAATATATTCCCTATGAAAAAAATCCCTAATTTTTAATAACATTCAGAAAACGAAATTTGACAAAGGTATTCATAGGAAACAATTCTGTCAGTGGTTTGTGTGGTTTCTATTAAAAAAAAGGGGGGGGGAGAAGCTAAAGCTAGGAATTCGGAATATGTATTCAGGAAGGGTTCTGGGGCTTAAGGTAAATTCTGAAAACATAGTGTGGGCATTTGAGGGACAGAACCAGAGATCTGGGATGGAGAGGAAGAGGTTGGTAAAATAAAGCCAGGGAAATGGTCTTTTGGGTAACAGATAAGAAGGGTGATTGTAAACCAAGAGATTTTTATTTTCTCTTTTTGCTTTTCTTGAGACAGGATCTCAAGTTCAGGCTGGCCTTGAACTTGCAGTGATCCTCCTGCCTCCGCCTCCTCAGGGCTGGGATTACAGGTGTATGCCACCATACCTGTTTTTGGTTTTTGTTTTTCTCGGAACTGAGGATTGAACTGAGGCCCTTGCGCTTGCAGGCAAGCGCTTATTCTACTGAGCCGTCTCTCCGGCCCCATCCATCTCCATGGTCCCCCATGCCCAGTTTAAAGGAGTTTTTGAGGGGAAAAGAGAACTCGTTTTGAGGCGTGGATTTAAAGTTTGGTAAAATGGGTACCCGTGAATTTATGTCAGTTCAGGAACACAATGATCCAGGGTTTAGCTGGCGAGGAGGATGAGGACAGTGTCATTTGGGGGTGGGTTGGGGAGGCAGAAAATGCGGGGTGGAAGACAGTGAGAAGAGTGTAGGCAAGCACACATGCTGTGAATGTTGTGCCCTTTTCTTGTGCTTAAGGAGAAAAATGGAGCACAGCATGTTCCAAGGGAGAGAGGACTCTTCCTAAATTCAGCCTGAGATGCTTACACAGTAGCCAAAGAAAGATGACCTTCAGGAAGCCGGGAGAAATTGCCTCAAGGGAGAGAACGCGGAGGCGAAGAAACAGACCTGGGAGACAGATCATAGGGAAATGGGAAACGCTCACCAGGGAGAAAGTCTGCAAAGGAAATTTTCCTCCATTGCTTTTTTGAGACGGGGTCTCCCTAGGTGTCCCCGGCTGGGCTCAAACTCATAGCCATCCTCCTGCCTCAGCCTCTTGAGTGCTGGGGTTACAGGTGTGCGCCACCGCGTCGAAGTTGAAAACGGGCAGAATGGTAAAAGCCCAGCAGACACCCACTCATTCATGGAAGAACTAACGCATGCGCGGAGAAAACTTTGAAACTGCTAAAGAAAACCAGCTCAGGGAAGAACGATTGCTGCGCCTGAAAAAGGAGGAACACACAAGGCCAGCAGGAGAACCTGCCGGTGGGAACCAGGGAAGCTGCCACGATCAAGGGCCCACCGGTCTAGGAAAGCCAGGCAGATGTAAAGTGGTACCTGCCGCTCTGGGTTCTTGCAGGAGGAAGGACTCTGCAACCTGTGAGACCCACAGAGCAGGACCTGGACCTGACTCAGCCTGCGAGTAACCTTAACCGCGGCCTGTCTCCTCCCCCAAGTGAAACGAGATAATAATGACCGTGCAGCCGGCAGTGAAACAAGATTGCTGAAAGGACTTTGAAACATGTAAAGTGCCGTATAACTAGATATTATTATAGCCCCCCCCACCCTATCATCAAAACTTAAAAGCTAACATCAGATTGGATCTTCTGTGTTACAGACTCCCTGTTTAGTGCTGCTACGTGGCGCACCATCCCGTACAATCTTCAAAACAATTTTAAGAGGTTGGGTACTGTTATTATCCCCGTTTTACGGGCCAGAAACGTCTGCCACTGGAAGCCTGTGATTTGCCCAGAGTCATCCAGCAAGGGAGCAACACAGGACTCCAAAGTCCACGCCTGTGCGAAGAGGCAGGGGGCACACGACTGACCTTGGACAACTTCCGAGATCCAAGGAGAAAAGACCCCAACAACATGCCCGGCCGGGTGGAGAGGAGGTGTGACCCTCCCGTTGCTTTGAACCAGGCTCTCGCTAGTTATGTAGTCCAGGCGGGCCTAGAACTCACTGTGTAGCCCAGGCTGGCCTCGAGCTCGTGGCGATCCTCCTGTGTCAGCCTCCCGAGTCCCAGTATTACAGGTGTGCGCCACCAAGTGTGGCTTGTGATTTAGAGCCAAAAGGAATACTGGACTTTTATTACTCTGTGAAAGACTTTTCTGAATGCCTGCTATACAGCTAGAGAGGTGTCAGGCAGAGCCCGTTAGCCTGGCATGGCCTGTTTTCCTCCACTTTTCCAACTCCTTGGTCTCTCGTTTCCTGAACGGGGTTCTGCTCATTTCCCCCACTTGCTGGCTTGGGGTTTCGCCAAGCTGAGCCCCGCGGCTCCTCGCCGATCACCCCTCTGCGTGTCTGCCAGGAGAGCAAAGTTCTGACCTGCTGGGGGTCCGCAGCTGCCCTTCCCTGACGCCCCGCCCACCTCGGAATCACGTGCGCAATAATCCTCAACTACAATTCCCAGAAGGCCAAGCGGCTACGCGCGCTGTTCTCACGCAACTACATGTCCCAAGAGGCATCGCGCTCCCTTGCCTCCTCGCACTGCGCAAGAGCGGAACTGCCTGCATTTCCGATGCCCAGCAAGGTGAGCGCGGTTTGCAGTTGGGTTTGAGTCCTGCCCCGCGGGACGTCGAGGGTTTACTGGTTTGGGCTTCTGGCTCTTTTGGTGAGATAATAAGCTCCAAGACTCAAAGACTTGGGGCCTGAGCATATTTCAGTGTGCGGGTGGTGGGACAGACGCTGGAGTGAGAACCGGAAGCGCTGTTTGCTCGGTGTTTCCAGTTTACGAAGTACCCCCTCGCCGCCCCGCCTAGTTTTCCCCGGCACCGCACTGTGAGCGCGGAAGCGGAAGTGCCTGCACTTGACGGCTGAGGAAGGGGTTCAGAGAGGCGTTGTGGAGCCAGGCCTTAGGCCGTGGCCACAGTGCAAACCCGGCGTGCTCTGCTTTGCGTCCGGGACTGCTGATGCCCTTGTTGACTCAGCGTGTTGGGGAGGGGGTACCTGCTTCCCGCCTTTCTCCCCCGCCGCAGGTTCGTCGCGAGGCAGGGAAAGATGGGGCGATTACTCCCTGGATAGCGTTCCTCCTTTAAGACATTCGTACAGCCAGTGTGGTTGTCGAGGTGGCTGCAGGCTGTGACGCTGTGCTCTAGGACTAGAGGTTACAGCGGTAAAGGAAAGTGCCCGGCCTGGCCCTCTCGTAGGGGAAGATACACAGCAAGCTTGTAGGAGACTAGTAAAAGTAAGGGGAAGCATCGGTGCAGGATTGCGAACAAGCCTGGCATATGGTGGGATCGGAAATCTGATTTGCGTGAGGCGAACGTGATAACCACTACACTACGGAAACTGAAATTTCATTTGTGCTGCAGTGACAACGGCCACACTGAAAAGATGGGTGAGGAGGCCAATGATGACAAGAAGCCCACGACCAAATTTGAGCTGGAGCGGGAAACAGAACTGCGCTTTGAGGTGGAGGCGTCGCAGTCGGTGCAGCTGGAGTTGTTGGCCGGCATGGCAGAGATCTTTGGCACAGAGCTGACCCGCAACAAGAAGTTCACCTTTGACGCTGGGGCCAAGGTGGCTGTTTTCACTTGGCACGGCTGCTCTGTGCAGTTGAGTGGCCGCACCGAAGTGGCATACGTCTCCAAGGACACCCCCATGTTGCTGTACCTCAACACTCACACGGCCCTGGAGCAGATGCGGAGGCAGGCGGAAAAGGAGGAGGAGCGCGGGCCGCGAGTGATGGTCGTGGGCCCCACAGACGTGGGCAAATCCACCGTGTGCCGCCTGCTGCTCAACTACGCAGTGCGCTTGGGTCGCAGGCCTACTTATGTGGAGCTGGATGTGGGCCAGGGCTCCGTGTCCATCCCCGGTACCATGGGCGCCCTGTACATCGAGCGGCCGGCAGACGTGGAGGAAGGCTTCTCCATCCAGGCCCCGCTGGTCTATCACTTTGGCTCTACCACTCCAGGGACCAACATCAAGCTGTATAATAAGGTGAGCGCTGGAGCCCCGGCGGGGGAGGTCGGGTTGCTGGTCGGGGCGTGGTAGCTTTCCTGTACTTTGTCCCCTTTCAGCTTATTGCTTCTGCTGCTGCGCGAACGCAGTTTTAAGCATTAGCCTCAGGTTATCGCTTTTGTAGACTTCCTAGTGTCCACATTGGACATAAAACAGGAACAGAAATAACATGCAGTAACATCTTTGAGGTCAAAACCACAGGTGTTAGGTCGGTATTTGAAACCCAATATGGTGGCACACGCCTGTAGTGTCAGCACCCAGGAGGCTGAGGCAGGAGGGTCCATGTGAGTTTGCAACCACCCTGCGCTACACAGTGAGTCCACAGCGAGCCCGAAGTGTGCTTTGGGGGCTGAGGGTATGGCCTGTGGTGTCATACTGGCCCAGTGTCCTAATTCTGAGTCTGGCTCCCAGCCCTGTGGAAGCGCACACACGTTAAGCCATTTCTCTTGTGCCCAGTACCCTTAAAGGGGGACAGAACAGCCACACATTGGTCTGAATATTTTTAGTTTTTCCTCTTTTTTGGTGCACGTGTGCATCCCCACTCCTTGTGAGGAGCTGGTGCCTGCACATCACACACCTTAATTCTTTCATCTTTCCTCCCTTCCCCCTTGCCTGGGGGTTTTCTGTTGGCCCCTTGTCCCATCCATTGCAGATTACGTCCCGCTTAGCAGATGTGTTTAACCAGCGGTGCGAGGTGAACCGGAGGGCGTCTGTGAGCGGCTGCGTCATCAACACCTGCGGCTGGGTCAAGGGCTCAGGGTACCAGGCGCTAGTGCACGCGGCCTCTGCCTTCGAGGTGGATGTGGTGGTGGTGCTGGACCAGGAGCGCCTGTACAACGAGCTGAAACGCGACCTGCCTCACTTCGTACGCACCGTGCTGCTGCCCAAGTCGGGCGGTGTGGTAGAGCGCTCCAAGGACTTCCGGCGTGAGTGCAGGGACGAGCGCATCCGCGAGTACTTCTACGGTTTCCGGGGCTGCTTCTATCCCCACGCCTTCAATGTCAAATTTTCAGATGTGAAGATCTACAAAGTGGGCGCCCCCACCATCCCTGACTCCTGTCTGCCGCTCGGCATGTCACAAGAGGACAACCAGTTGAAGCTTGTGCCCGTCACCCCTGGCCGGGACATGGTGCACCATCTCCTCAGTGTGAGCACGGCCGAGGGCACTGAGGAAAACCTCTCGGAGACCAGCGTGGCCGGCTTCATCGTGGTGACCAGCGTGGACCTGGAGCACCAGGTGTTCACTGTACTTTCTCCAGCACCCCGGCCACTGCCCAAGAACTTCCTGCTCATCATGGACATCCGGTTCATGGATCTCAAGTAGAGGTGGTGGCAGCCGTGCCCTCTGGACTGTGGGCTCCTCTTCTGGCTGGCCCCACAGGCACGCAGGTGAGAGGCCTGGTGAGGCTGACTGTTGTGGCAACGGCTCCAGGTGGCGTATATTCTCCCTGAGCCAGACCTTCCAGCTGGGAGTCCGGGGGCAGCCATGAACATGCGATTGCCTCTCTTAGGTTGCCCGGGATGCCAGCTGGGCTCTGAGACCTCAGAGGACTCGCCTTTCTCTCAAGGTGCTTCTTGACTATTTTCCATTACCACTTCGTACACACGTGCGAGCAGCTAATTTATCCAGGGTGAGAGTGTGAACTAGAGGGATTCTTTTCAGTCAACTTCAAATAAAAAGTTATTTTAATATGATTGCTATACTATGGATGTGTAATTTAAAAAGTACCTTTTTCTTCTGCAGAAGCGTTATTGGAGCATTATTGGAGCTATTTATTTGGTACAAGGTCTCACTACACAGCTTGGACTCTTAGGGATCCTCCTGTTTCAGCCTCCCCAGTGCTAGGATTACAGGCATGCACCACCACGCCCGGTTTTGGGGCTGGCACAGCATGCCTGGGGTTCCAGGGCTGGCCCCACATGTGATACTGGGGATCAAACCCAGATCCTTACACTTGCTAGGCAGGTGCTTAGGCTGCTATGGAATCTTCCCAGCCCAGGAATGATTTATTAATCAAATGATTAGACAAAGGGAAAATTGAGAATTACCTCTGAGCCAAACAGAGTTATGATTTCTTCTCTTCCTACGCCACCTCTTATTTTTTTGTGTGGTTACAGGGTCATGCTGTGTAGTGCAAGGTGGCCTGGAACTCACTTATGTAGCTCAGCTTGGCTTCCAACTCATGGTGATTCTCCTGCCTCAGCTTCCCTGGTGCTGGGATTACAGGCTATGCCACCGTGCCTGGCCTTCTTTTTTTTTGGTTGGCTTGAGCCAACCAGGGTCTCACTCTGTAGCCCAGACTAGCCTCAACCTTGTGGGCTTGTGGAGAATCTCCTGCCTCCTCCTTCCCAGTGCTGGAATTATAGGCCTTTCACACAACCAGCCAATTCCCCATTCTTTGGCAGATGGGAAAAGAAGACAGTAGGTCTGTTGTCAATACTGAGTTCTCGGGGGAGTTACAGCTTCGATAATCTTAGGCTGAGGTCCCAGATCTCTTTCCTAGCGAGGGCTCGTTTTCTCTTCTGCAGTTACCTTTCGGGTCTGTGTGATTAGAACCAGGCCCTAAGTCCAAGTGTTGCTTGAACGTTCAGATAGGAAGGGGCTGCACAGGACGTTCTCTTTGATGTCTTGCATGTGACTGATGGATGTCCTTCGTTTGGACTTGGGTTAAGAAGTCTGATACGATTCATCCATTCCTTCTTAGGAAACTTACTTTTCGTGGAGCGGGACACAATGTCAGGGACCCTCCTTGGTGGGGACAAGAAAGACAAGGTCATATGTGCCTTCCCATGAAGAATGGCCAGATGTAATGCAGTGAGCACCGAGCAGACTCGACTTGAGCAGTATGAGATGGCAAAGCTGCTTGAGCGTGTGTGGTCAGGAAGGAGCCTTACTCTTTGCTCGCACTAGGGATTGAACACAGCCCCATCACTGGCCCTTTCTATTTTGAGACAGGGTCTCTGTGGTAATCACAAGGTTACCCAGGCTGGGCTTGAACCTGCCGTCGAAGGCCTCAGCCTTGCAGAGTGGTAGGGTCAGGGCAGTGCATGCCTGCAGTCCCAGCACTTGGAGTCTGGGGCAGGAGGACTGCAGGTTCCCCATCCTGGCAGCTTAACTATGTGGCATGATCCTGTCTCAAAATAAAATATTAAAAAGGCCGGGGCCGTAGCTCAGCAAATGGCTTGGGTTCCAAGCTTAGTAAGCCAAGAGGGTTACAGTTCTCTTGAGCACTGAGAGACTGATGACAGCAGCATGGGTGGAGGGGAGGGCTGCTGTCCGCGCTTGGGCCGTTTTGGACGTTACGTAGCCCGAGCTGGCCTCGAACTCATGATCCTCCTGCCTCAGCCTCTCGAGTGCTTGGGTTGTACCAGCAGGTGTACCCCATCGCACCCTCACTGGAGTTTTTACTTATTTTTGAGACTGGGTCTCTGCTACGCAGTTCAGGCTGGCCTTGTGCTCACTTTTGTAGCCCCCAGGCTGGTCTCAAGCTCACAGTGATCCTCCTGTCTCAACCTGCTGAGCGCTGGGATTACAGGTGTGCACCACCAGGTTCCGTTCCTTATTTTGAAGGTAAAAAGGGTAGGACTTGCTGATGAGTGATAAGGAAAGGAAACCGAAATCCAGGGCTTTTTAAAAAATGGAGCCACGGGCATTTTTTCTTTTTCTTTCTTTTTTTTTTTTTTTTTTGTGGAACTGGGGAATTGAACTTAGGGCCTTGCGCTTGCCAGGGAAGCACTTATTCCACTGAACCATCTCCCCGGCCCCCTAGCAATACTTTTTTTTTTTTTTTTTTTTTTTTGCAGAACCAGGGGTTGAACTCAGGCCCTTGCGCTTGCCAGGGAAGCGCTTATTTCATTGAGCCATCTCCCCGGCCCCCCAAGGGCATTTTTTGTTTTTTGTTTTTTTTTGGTATTGGAGATGGAACTCAGGACCTTACACAAGTGCTCATGCCAGATCTGTGGACATGGAAATGAAGAAGCAAACATGGGGAGCTGGGGAGACAGCTCAGTGGAAAAAGTGCTTCCCTGGCAAGAACACGGTTGTGAGTTCAATCCCCAGGTACCACAAAAAGAACAACAACAAAAAAAAGAATTTGAATTAAAAGAAGCAGACATGGGAAGGAAGTGGCTGAGCAGGTGCTTGGGATGTGCTTTCAGGTGCAGAGCCTTTGCCAGTGTGCACCAGCCCTAGGCTTGCTCCCAGCACCGGAGCGGGGAGGGGAAAGGTCAAGCGCAGGCAGAGCTGCGTGATGACATCACTGTGCGTCTCCCAGCATTGATGAGTTTCAGTGCTGACGTGAAAAATGCAGCCTCACCCTCGAATGATAGGGACAAAAGGCCTACTGAAATAGACTGAAGACATGGTGCACACTGAGGAAGCACGGGTAACTACAGATAAACCTTTGTAGACACTGATTGGTATGATTACTTTTTGTTGTAAAGGACTCGCAGGCTGCGGCAGGAGGATTGCTGTGAGATGTAGGCCAGCCTGGGCCTAAATTTTCCCACACCAAAAAAGTGTTAAGCCAGATGTGGTGGTGGACACCTGTAATCCCAGTGCTCTACCTGTAATCCCAGCACTGTGGAGGCTGACAGGAGGATTGTTGCAAGTTTGAGGCCAGCCTGGGCTACAAAGTAAGCACAAGGCCAGCCTGAACTGTCTCAAAGAGACAGAAGAGCTTTGTTAAGGATTAGGATATGGGGCTGGGGAGATAGCTCAATAGAATAAGCACCTGCCTGGCAAGTGCAGGGTCCTGAGTTCAATCCCTGGTGCTGCAAAAAAAAGATTAGGATATGGTATAGAAGGAGCATTCATGGTTAAGTCTTTCAGATAGGACAGGGTCTCATGGAATCTAGATGAAGAGAAATTAATGATTGGTATGTGTGTGCACATTTTTGTATGTTTTAAATTCTTCATATACCCAAAGGAAGTCTTAAGCACAAAGGAAAGCCCATCCTATAGCACAGGCCGGGACCCTACCGTGTGGCCCCAAGCTGTGCCTCCGACACGGACAGGAGAGTGCAGGTGCCAGTAGCCCCCATGATGGAGGGGGGCATTACGCGCTGCAAGTACGTACTAATAAAAATTGAAGGGCTGGCTAGATAGCTCAGCAGACGAAAGCCCGTGCTCAGACAGACACGGACTGGGTTTCGATCCCGGAGAACTGTGCCAGCCCCACCCCCGGGGTGCGCTGAAACAGCAACAGACTGGGTGTGCTGGTGCAGGCCTGTAATCCCAGTGCTTGGGAGGTTGAAAACAGGAGGATCACTATGGTCTGGTCTGTGTAATGAGACCCTGTACTAAATACATTTAAAAAACCAAACAAGCAAAAAAAAAAAAAAAGGGCATAGTGGCACGTACCTGTGGTCCCAGCACTCAAGAGGCTGATGGAGGCAGAAGCAGGAGGTTCACCATACACTTAAGGCCAACCTGGACCATGTAGTGAGCCAGTATCTCAAAGAAAAAACATAGATGAAAACACTAGAAAATTATCAGGTATTTGTAGACATATCAAAAGAGTGTTTTTAGTACCATTGTTACCGTTTCTGCCTGGATGTCTCTTCAAAGCCTCATGCAGTTGTGGGATGGTTTCTATAGTTTGTTTTTTTGAGACAGGGTCTCACTATGTAGTTCAGGCTGGCCTTGAGCTCACTCTGTAGCCCAGGCTGGTCTCCAACTCACAACAATCTTCCTGCTTCAGCCTCCTGAGTTCTGGGATTATAGGATTGTGCCACTGTACCCAGTTTGGATTTTTTTTTTTTTTTTTGCTGTTGTTACTGGGAAGCAACTCAGGATCTCATGTTTGCTGTCGCAGACCTGTTAGCCTCCTGATATGGACTTGCACGGAACGCTGCAGTGAGCTCCAGACCTTGGACTGAGTCCTGCAGTCTCCAGTGTGCAGACGTGCTCTCCTCTGCACGTTTCCTCCTCTGACCGTGCCTGACTGTCATGAGCCAATCTTGCTATTTTTTATACATTTGTACATCTTGTGTTATATCTGTTCCTCTAGTAAAACCTCGGCTGGGGGCCGAGGAGATGGCTCAGTAGAATAAGTGCTTGCCTGGCAAGCGCAAGGGCCTGAGTTCAATCCCTGGTTCCGCAAACAAAACAAAACAAAACCTTTGGCTGATGTAGGTAGTAATTATGCCTCCATGAAAAAGAGCTGGGAGACTCAGTGGTCTAAAGCGCCGGCTCAGGCAAGCTTATGCAAGTGCAGGGACCACAGTTTCATCCCCAGGCAACATGTGCTGCACCAGCCCTGCAGGAGGGCTGGGGAGATAGCTCAGCAGAATAAGTGCCTGCCCTGCAAGCACAAGCTTCTGAGTTCAATCCCCTGCACCGCAAAAAAAAAAAAAAAAAAAGAAAGAAAGAAAAACAGGAAAAATAAAAGAGCTGGAACTGTAATCCCAGAGCTTGGGAGGACTCAAGAGGCTGCAATGTCAGAAAAGAGCTGGGAGAGTAAGCTCAGGAGTACAGTGGTTGGGTGGTGAAAGCTGGGAATAGGCGGTCTTTCCCAGAGCCCCTCTCCCCAACAGACATCAAGATGCCTGTAGGTTCTCAGTTGAAGTGAAAAAATAAAAATGCTCAATTTGTGAAGTAGAGGAAATGAAAATTCTTAACAGCTAACTAAAAAAAAAATGAAATTCGATTTCATTTTAGGAGAAAGTGATTTAAGAGGTCAAAAACACACCTCTAGGGCCAAGGAGATGGCTCAGTAGAATAAGTGCTTGCAAGGGCCTGAGTTCAATCCCCCAGTTCCTCCAAAAAACAAAATAGAAACAGAAAACACCTCCAGCAATAAATGTATCTTTTTTTTTTTTTTTCGGAACGGGGGATTGAACTCAGGTCCTTGAGCTTGTCAGGCAAGCACTTATTCTACTGAGCCATCTCCCCAGCCCCAAATGTATCTTTTTTACGATTTCAAAGTTTTAAAAAAATACTAACAAGACCTCTGTGTTGTAATACATGCTGGGTTGAAGCCCATTGCAAGAATGAATTAGAACTAAATCAGTCATGCCTGTGATTCCAGAATGGAGGCTGAGGCAGGAGGATTGGCGTCAAAATCCAAATAAGAATGAATTAGAATTAATAATAAATGCCACGACAGGGAAGGGAGTAGGCAGGACCCCAGGAAACAGGGCAGACGCCTCCTTCCCCTGGCTGCCTGATGCGAACGTGTCAGCACCACAGTCTCAGCTGCAGTTGCATCCACCCTGGAAACCAGGCCGAGCACACACTGCAGGTCGAGGCAGAATCCGTTCTTTTCCTGGTTGTTACATAACCGCCAGCGCTGCTCTCGGATGGGAAGCGGCCCGAACTCCAGAGGGGGCACGTGTAGCATCGCCATGGGCTTCGCCGCCGTCCCGGACTAATTAGGGCAAAGCCTCTCGCTGTGATCTTCGGGGACTCGGCCAGCAGCTCGCCAGGGACCAGAGCTATTCTGGACAGCCGCGGCTGTGCAGCTGCGTTCTCTGATCGGGTGCGGTCTGGAAGGCAGCGCAGAGTTCTCAAACCCGCAGGCCTGCCGCCCGGCTCCCAATCCTGGCGGGGGCTTCGCCCTGCCGTGCCTGGTCTGCTAGGCCAGCCAGCCCCTGTCCAAGTTCGAGCTCAACTCTCTCAACACCCAGAGATCTGGATGGACCAGCAAGGTGTTTAAATAAAGTTTATGCCATCAAAAAAAAAAAAATGGCAGGGGAGGGTGGTGACCTTAGCTTCCACGCGGTTGGCCAATGCATGAAGGGGCGGAGCAGAAAGACAAGGCGGCCCGTCCGTAATTGGCTACGCTAGGAGCCAGTCTGGACCATACCACTTCTATGGGGAGGTGACATTGGTGAATTTGAGAGTGGCCCTTGCTAGGGAGTCGTTCTAGCATACATGTATACTTTTTAAAATTTAAGGTTCCTGGTTGGCTACCGCATGAGCGCAAGACAGGATGCAGGAGAAAGGAGTGCTTCCTCAGTTTTCTCCCTATTTCCAACTCCTGCGCAGTTACCCAGCCTTTTTCGACTAGTCGCCCGCGGAACTCGACGGCCCTGCGCGCGCGCTCCCGCCGCTTTGCGTGCGTACGGCGTTGTATCTCTGGAGCCAATCAGAACGCGAGGTCGCCGCGGTCGCCGGCGTTCGCGCGCACGCACCGGAGAGGCGTGGGGGTGGGGGCACGGGTGAATGAGAGAGTGAGCGGGGGCGGGCGCGGAGGCGCGAGCCTCATGAATGAGAGGAACGTGCCCCGCGCGAGACGCTGCGCGCGCCCGGGCCGGGGAGCCAATGGGAGCGCCGGGAGGGCTCGGGCCCTGGCACTGAGGGCCGCGGCCGCGCGCCGGCACGAAGGCGAGCGTCGCGAGCGGGAGCGCGCGGGAGCGGGGCGGGCGTGGAGCGTGCGGGGGCCGCGCGCTGCCTCTTCTCTCAGCGGCCGGACGGCACTGCCGGGAAGCGGCGGTGACAACGACGGCGCCGGTGACGGGCGCCGCGCCGCAGGTGAGTCCCGGGGACGCCAGCCCCTGCGGAACCGGAAGTGCGGGCCGGGGAGGTGGGAGGGGAGAGTGACCTCTAGGGAAGGGGGAGCGCGGCAGGGGGTCGAGGGCCCCGTCCTCGCCGCGGGCCCGGGGTGGACGGGCGGGCTGCTGGTCGAGGCGGGCTCCATGGCCGCCGGGCGAGCGGCTCCTGCTGGGCCGGAGCTGGTCCCCGCGCCGA